GAGAGAGACAGAAAGAGAGAGAGAGAAAGAGAGAGATAACAACGCGAGCTACGAAATTCACGCACGCTCAACCCGAGTCGTAAAACAGTTTTGCGCGATGCATATATAGATGTTTGACCCTTCCAATATCTTTTCCTTTTCCTTTTTTCTTTTTTTTTTTTTTTTTTCTCTTCCCTTTTCGTCTTTCACTCTTCAACGATTCACTTCGTCAGAATTACCCGCATAAAAATAGCAATCAAACGGTTTTTACACGATAGATTCTTGGACGATCGACCGAAAGTTAAGCGAGAATATAATGGTATCACGAGGGCGTAACGAGAATCTGATTTTCCGCGATGAAAACGGTAAAATCCGTGCCGGTTTTTTTGCGGTTAAGCGCGAATGAATCGTGTAATGCTCGATTCGACGAGCCACCATTAACACCACCGTGTAATCCTGAATCGGCAATCAGGGATTGAAAATCTTGGGTCCGGCCCAATGATGATTCGACGTTTGACGGGTTGGAAAAGTTTTTATCGTGAAAACTCGCGAAGAAGAGAGGGAAAGAGAGGAGGGGGAAGAGGAAGGGGAGGAGAAAAAAAAAAGAGAAGAAGGATAAAATCGGAAGGCTATTGGAAGAAAAATGTTCTCGCTAGCATGTAAGTAAGTTTCAGAAAAGTTTCCTTAACTGAATTTTAAGTCGGCTACGCGGATCGTTTTATTAATATTTTTCTTCCCGAGATACACTTTAAAAGTCAAATGGCCGGTGTGCATCTTCCTCCGTTTTATAATGGTGCACACTGCACCAAAGAAACCGACTTCTCGTTAAGTATTTTATCCACTTGTAGTTTTCGTGTATAAATATATACTTGCTAAACGTATATTCGCAATTCTATCTCTTTCTTTGGAAGAAATTTACATCTTTGTAAATAAAGCGATTGATACTCGATTAAAAAATACTTTTCCTTGATACTAGAATCACTTTATATATATATAAGATTATATTTAAAATTATACATAGTTACACAATGCTCGTAATACTTTTTCGATATCGCTTTATCTACATCTTATTTTCAGCGCATTGAACTTGAAGCCAAACACATTTTTCGAGATAATTATTCTTTCACGTTCGACGATAAAAGAATGAGTTTTCGAATCACCAGAATCTGAAAATCTTGCATTGGAAATTGATCGAGCACTTTACTTAAAAAAAAAACCCTGAACAAATCTTTTCCTTCCATTCCTATTTCCACGAACCGTATATCCCATAACCTAATCCCATAAGCTCGAAACCCGCATAAAAGAATCGAAACCGAACAACTCTCGTGGGGTGGGGAAGAGTCCCGGGTCACCGATAAAATTACGCAAATGTGAAATCGAAGGTCGGTTTCGGGCTTATCGTCGCGTCTTGAAAATAGGACGGGGAGGTGATTATTTTGCTCGAAACGTCAGATACACGCACCTCCCCCCAATCACCTGTCGTTGATATCGGCACGTGACTTCGAATAATTTTCCCCCCTGTCACCGGCAAAAACATTTCGCGCAACGCCGCGTCACGTTCCATCGTTTGAGATATTGCCGATCATCGTACGAAAGTCCAGGCCACCGGTTCAATCCCTCTTCCTCCCTTCTTCTTCTTCTTCTTCTTCTTCTTCTTTTTTCCGCCGGTATTCTCTCTCGATATCATGACGAACGATTAAACCGGCACCACCATTTTTCTTCCACGTGAAATTACCCCCCCAGCCTCTTTAACAAACGTCGAGTCATTGTTATCGCGCGGGAGGGAACGGCCGTGGTCCGTTCGTTTTTCGCCACGAAGATCGGGAGAAAGATCTAGGACGGAACGTCGATTCACGACACGACACGGTTTACCGACTCGACTCTCGAAGGTCGATCGTTCGAGTTAACGCAGCAGGATAAAACGAACGAGACGTTGGATCGAATTTAAAAAAGTACACGACGTTGGCTAGTGTAGAACGCCCGCTCCGCGAACTATTCCCACTTGACGCGAGACAGTTTTTCGACCGAATTATTTTTTTCACTCGGGACTTTCCATTAAGTAAACGAACGTTTAATTGACGTTCGGTATGAATGATTCATTGGGAGTGTCTTTCGGAACAGCATCGCGTCGACTATCCTCTTTTTTCTTTTTTTTTTTTTTTTTTTACTCTCTCGTCGAATCAAATTTTCAAATTACACAACGGCTTAATTGACGTACAGCGAGTGACTGATTGCAATTATTTCTAAACGAGATGAATTCGAACGAGGGAACGAGGAAACATAGGATAATATTTAAAAATTCCAAAAAAGTTCACCGATTTTTAAATTTCACCACTTCTTTTACCACTGTAATAATCGTTATCTGCAATAATATTATCGGATATATACGGAATTCTAACGCATACCTGTATCTCCGCACAACTGGCGTGAACATTCCCCAGCTGCCAAAAGCCTCGTCCCGGCTTGCCACTCGCCTCCTCTTGCAAAGTAATCTTCTCGTTCCCGTTTCTCCAATCTGTTCTCCAATCCGTATAGTCGATCAATCACAAAAACACAGCACAATCGTCCTCGAGGGATAATATGAACGCCTCGTGTTCACCGGCGATCACCGTTCCACCGTTTCGTATACGATACGTCTCCGAAGGCGTCGCGGCGCTCACTGCGGAGACTTGGCTGCGTACCCGCCCTTATAGCATCGTGTTGCGCTCGCACCGTGCCCCCTCCCCTCGCCGCGAGCCCCCTCCTCTACCGCTTCCCTCGCCACTTCACCCTTCGCCTCGACCCTCTGCGCCGTACCGCGAGCCTCGTACACTCCTCGCGCCCCACCTCACCCCTTTGCTCGCCATTCCCACCACCCACAGCACCTTACAGGATAACGCAAGCGTTCTGGAATAAGCGTTCAAAAGACCAGCGGATGCATTCTTCCCGTATGCTTCGCTACCTTGTGCGCGAAAATTGAACGGCTTGAGAAATGAACGTGTTCGAGATGCAGTGTTTCGCCGATTCGGTGTTTCCCATTTGTTTCTTCTCTCTTTCTCTCTCTCTCTCTCTCTCTCTCTACTTTTAACGAGAAATTTCTTCTTTGCTAGAACAGAAGCGATAAGAAATGAAATTTCGTTTTCATTTTCGAATCGATGACGCGGACGGTTTCGTAGATGGAAGGATTGTTAGCGTAAGGGTAGATTCTAATTTGCCCGAACCCGCACAGGGATGGGTTATCCCTCCCTGCAAATCACTTGGACGCGCTCCAGCGCTCGTCATACCGCGCGTGAACGTCACGCTAGCCTTCTTCGATTCGCCCCAACCGAGGACCGGTTTCAATTTGAAAGGAAACTTTTAGAATCCATTGCAAACCCCGTCGAATCATTTTCGATTCGTGCTAACTTTCCCATCGAGCTGCACGAGATACCTATTTGCACACCCGCTAAACAACCTTGCATATCCAACCTCGAGTCGCGTCAACCGTTTTGTAATTCCCCGTGATTCGCGTTGCGTTACGTACTTCGTAATACGTGCCCGATTTTCGAACGAAACTCTCTCTCTCGACTTGCGTCTTACCACGTAAAACCGATCCGTTTAATCTTCCACACGACTCGCATTAATCGTATCGAGCCAAATAGGATATCTCATTTCTGATTCATCCACCGCTTCGTCGTCTAATGCTAATCTCTCTCTCTCTCTCTCTCTCTCTCTCTCTCTCTCTCTCTTTCTCTCAAAATTCAGAACTTTGCATCCCTACTTTTCGTGCCTGATCCTATTCGATTGCCTCGATTAGGATCGATGCAGGATGGCGGTACAAGGCTCGTACTCGCGCAAATCCGCTCGAACGCGCGTTCCAATCCGCCCCGACTCGTCCCGATCCGCCTTGCTCGTAAGTCTTTACGCTTGTCACGTACCTGGATGGTATATAACATCGCGTCTCTCTGACGCAGACGTATGTCCAACTGTCGGTGGTGAGCGCCCCGCATCATTAATTTATCCATCGCCGAGACTGCTTCAGGGCAAACGGGTCGACATCCAGGCTCATCAGACACCCAACAAATCCCAAGGGATGATGGCTCGAGAAAAGAAAAAAGAAGAAGAAGAAAACATTCTTCTTCGACGAGTATCTTTTAGACCTTGAAAAGAATTTTCGTTCTCTTCTCTTTTTTTTTTTTTTTTCCCTCTTCCCCTCTTGTTTCGAACGTTGTTCTTGCATTTTAGAGAG